CTTGGGTTGATTCTATTTGGGGTCCTCTGTATTTCTTGGGACTGAATCTTTGAGTGCCTCTCTAGGTTTGGAAAGTTTTCTTGCAGGATTTCATGGAATAGATTATCAATGCCCTTATGATACTCTTAGCCTTCTGGGATGCCTATTATCTGGATGTTTGGATGTTTGATGGTATCTAGTATTTCTCATATATTATTCTCAAATTTTTGGGCCATTTTCTCAGTCTTCATGGTGGATTTTTCTAGGCCAGCAATTTTCTCTTCTACATCTGTAAGTCTAGTCTGCTTTTAATACTTTCAAGGGAGATTTTGACTTCCTGTATTATAGCCTTCATCTTTAACAGTTCCATCTGATTCTTTTGTAAAGTGTGAAATTCCTCTTTTAGATCTTGCATGAATTTCCTCACCTCCTAGAACTCTTCAACTCCTTTCTCCTTCCTCTTCAGCAGTTCATTGTCTCTCTTCTCTTCCATTTCTGTTAGCTTTGCCATTATGAATGTTCTGAATTCTTTATCAGACATTTCCATGATTTCCATTGAACTGTGTGGGGATGAAGAAGAGTTATCCTTTTCCCTTGGAGGAGAGGTATTTTCCTGCTTTCCCATATTTCTTGTGGTCCTGCAGTGATTTCTAGTCATCTGGTGGATGGTCGGTTTCTTCCCAAACTTGGAAGTCCAATCTGAGGGAAGAGGAGCGTGCAGAAAAGAAAACAGAGAGAGAAACAACAGCAACAGCAGCAAGAAAACAGACAAGAAACAGAGAAAAAGAGAAGAAAAAACTAAGAGAAAAATGTTTAAATAAAACAAAAAACAATTAATATTCAAAAAATTTCAATAAAACCCAAAAATTAGAAAACCATGTGGCGCACAATCGTGCCACACAAAATGGCTAGATTGCAGGAGCCATGGAGAAAGGTGTCTCTTTGAGAAGGCCTGTTCCCTTCCCTTCTGCCTCTCCTATGTTGGGAGTGGGAGAGGGAATTATTAACAAGATAAAGGGATAGGAGAGGCCAGAAGGCCCAGAAAAAAATGCCTCACCTTAAAAAATTCTAAAAAGCAAAAATTTAAAAAAAGAGAGAAGACAGAGACAGAGGTAGAGAGAGACAAAGAGATACAGAGACAGGAGGCCTGAAAGGGGTCTTCCTACCGCGTGAGTTTTGTATGCTCGAGGTCGAATTATCAGTGGGAAGTCTTCATTTCTCGGTTTGCCCCAAAATGGCTAGATCACAGGAGCCATGGAGAAAGGTGTTTCTTCTAGAAGGCCTGTTCCCTTCTCTTCTCGGCATCTACCTTTTAAATCAAACATACTTTGAAACTCATTTCTTCTAGTCCCATCCAAGAATTCTCAGACTTAGCATGAATTTATCCTTCTGGTGATCATTCTAAGTCACCTTTGGGTGCCTTTGTTAACCTCTGTCTTCTGTCTCCCTCACAGTTTTTCTTGGTCCACCTTTGCCCATCACAAAGCCTCGTTGTGTGCATTGTAGGATGGGAATGTTAAGGATTCTATACTGGACTTTCTTAATTCTCTATCTCTTCTCTCTCTCACTCATTCTCTCTCTTTCTCTCTCTCTTCTTTAATTTGATTTGCTGTAAAGCACGTGCATTCACCAGAGAGACAGAGAGAGAGAGAAAGTGAGAAAGAATCCCCTAAGGGATGATGCTGCTACAATTCTTTCTCCTCCGTTCTTCTCTTGGGATTTTAGGTATACACACACATGCACCCAGAGTGTTTTTCAAACTGCCAAGTCCAGGACTCATGCTACTCAGTCAGCCATGCAGAATCTAGCTACCTTATCCACCATGCAATCTGGTTGGCCCTAATTTTCCCACAGTTATTTTGAAGTCGTAGCATTCTTTGTCTTCAATTATAGGTCACAAATTTTTAGAGAGTAGTTATGAAGTTATCACAAATCATTGGGGAAAAGATTTGGGGAAATTGATTATACACAGCTGCAATTACCATAGCTCTACACATACTTAAGAATATCTCCAACTAGCCATTGTGGGAAAACGTCTACATTCTCAAGGAACTAGTTTTGGTGTGAGTTTAAGTCACCAGGTCTGGGACTTGATCCACGGTTAACTACATGGGAATCCAGCGACATAGCCATTACACCAACTGCTGGTCCCAAAATACATTTTCAAAAAAACACAAGCTACTTAAGACTGAAACATGATGAAACAGAACATTTAAACAGATCTACTAATGAATAGATTGAATTAGAAGTCAAAAACCTCCTAACTGGAAACTTTACCAAATGTTTAAATAGGAATTAAAAACAATCCTTCTCAAACTCTTCCAAAAAACTAGAGGAGAGAATATTTCCAGACTCATTCTATGTGACCTGCATTTCCCTGTTCTCAAAATCAGACAAGATACTATAAGAACTATAAACAAATGTCTCTGCACAAAACGTTTAACAAAATACTAGTAAAGAAAATGAGTGGGATGTATTCTTGGAACACAAAGATGGTTTAACATATGAGAATCAATTGATATAATTCGCAACATTAAGGAAAGGGAGAATAAAAACCACATGGTCGTGTCCATTCAGAAAAACTATTGACAGAATTCAACACTTTTCATGATTTAAAAAAAAAAAAAGAACTCGGGATAGAAGGAAATTACTTTGACATAATAAAGGTCATATATAAAAAGCCCAGACCTAGTATTGTACCCAGTGATGAAAACCAGAAAGATTTCCCTCTAAGATGAAGAAAAAGACCTATTCTCACCACTTCTGCCCTGCACTGTTGGTGGGAATGTAAAATGGTCAAACAGTATGCAAGTTTATCAAAAAATTAAAATATAGGATTAAGGTACGGTCTGGTTACTGAAAACAAGATCTTCATAAAATCTTTGCCCACTCATATTCATTTCCGCATTATTCTTAGTATGAAAACAACTTAAATATTTATTGACAGATGAATGCATAAAGAAAATGTGGTAGATACACATAATGAATTATTAATCAGCCTTAGGAAGTGAAGGAAGTCCTGCTATATGCTTCCACATAGGTGAAATCTGAGGATATGCTAAGTGAAATAAGTCAGTAACAGAAAGACAAACACTGCTTGATTCCAGGTCCACAAAACATCCAAAGTTGTTCAATGCTCAAAAACAGAAAGTAGAATAATGATTGCTAGCAACTGGAGAGGGGGACAAGAGTTGGTAAATGGATAGAGAGTTTCAGTTTTGCAAGATAAAAACGTTCTAGCTATTTGTTGAAAAATGATGTGGGTGTAGCTAACAACACTGTATTAGATACTTAAAAATGGTTAGGGTTCTAAATTTTGTTATGTATGTTCTACCACAAGAAATGAAGAATTAGCAGTAAGACTGTCATTATAAGCAATGTTTATTTATATATATATGTATGTATATATATATATATGTTAAGTATAAGAAGATACAAACATATATTTTATGTGTTTACATGTACATGTGTGTATAAGTCACAACTGCATATACTTTTCCTAAAAATACAGTTAATACAAATTAAATACATATTAATTAGTCATAGAATCTATTCAATAAATACACAACGTAGACCAAAACATTGGAAAGAAAATGGCTTACCTGTGCTCAGAAGTATTATTCTCAGGGCGTTTAAGATGTGGTACTCCCATTGTATAACCCAAAGCATATCCTAATACTGATGAAGCTTCTGCGATACCTGTAAAATGAATACTGCACATCTAGCAACTTCGAAAGTCAGCTCTGTCTTAAGATAATAGAAATGAATTGATTGACATGGATTGCTATTGAAAACTTTTCATAGCATTCTGTATTACCCATAGTTCTCCAGAGAAACAGAAGCAATAGAAAATATTTAGAAAGAGAGAGAGTTTTTACAAAATTAGTTCAAACAATTGTGGGGTTCAGCAAGTTCCAAAATTTTAGGACAGCCTAGCAGGCTTGCAATTCAACTATGAATTGATGCACTTTTAAGGCAGAATTGCTTCTCTGGAAAACTTCAGTTTTTGTTCATTTTCGCTCCTAAGAACTCCAACTGATAGGATGAGATCAAACCATATTATGGAGGTAATATGATTTACTCAGTCTACTGATCATAAATGTCAATCACTTCTGAAAAGAATGTCATCACAAAAATATCTTGACCAAACAACTGAGTCCCTTAACCTCACTAAGCTGACATAAAATTAACTACTTACACTCATTATTAATGCATGTATTATAAAAACTCAGATAATTTAATGACATAATTCATTAACCTAATTTAATGTCTATATTTAATACAATGTAAAGAGGTGTATATATATACTTAGTAGGAACATAAGTTCCATATGCATTGTTTTATGCTAATTTGTGGTGCTACAAAGCAAGATTTTGTTTAACATTATCATCACATTTGTATCCTTCACCTTAGCTGCCAGGATAACAGAAGATGATAATATAACAAACTTCTTCCCACGGTGTAGGAATGTGTGTTTTAATTGCAATTTACTAGAACCAAAAGTAAAAGGAGCAGATATTCTGCCACCGTTATCCGACACTCACAAATTACTGCAAAATGTCGTGTGGTTTCTTTCTTCTAAAATAAGACATAAATATATAAATCACCTATTGAGTTGTCGGAAAAGTCATGAAACGTTTTTGCATAGAAAAGCAGAAAAATATGTCATAACTTTTCCAATGATCCAATATTTTAGTTTATTAACATACATTTTCTTATCTCTAGTGCAAAATGATTATTTTGATGCAAAATGCTATCTTCTTTTAAGACACCACTACACTAAGTATAGTAAAATAAAACTACTTTTTTGGAATGGTATTTAGATAACATTTTACACATAGATGATCTCCCAGAACCAAAATCTGCTTCAACATAAAAAAGTACTTATTCAACATAAGAAAGAAATTATTCCGAGATAGAGCCAGTATTGTTATTTTAGAGTACCATAGCATACAACGTAAATAGAAGATGCTATGCTGTATTCAGTTAAATAGCATTAGATTTCTCTCTTTGATAGGATAAACAAGAATATATTTTCAATTAACTTGAAAATATCAGAGGCCCAAAGAGAGAGGATTGCTATATATGCAGGACGTAGTATAATGACACAGCTGGGCCTTCTCAGGAAAGGCTCATACCCTGAGATCTCCCTGAGCACACTGGGAATAATTTGGGCTGGTTGAGACTGGGGATGGATCATAGCATGAAGACTCTGTTGGTCTCTTTCTCACAGAATAAATAAATGAATAAACCTTTACAAACAAAAGTGTTTTCTCTATTGTTCTACATACTTAGTGATCTTCAGACATCTCTAGAATTCCACATCTCAAGCTGCTCCTTGGAATTAAATGGTTCATTAAATGGTTTGATGTGATTTTGGAGTTAAGCATAGCAGACATCATTTATTATATTATCATCATAAAGGCCAACAGTCAGCACTTCTATAAGGGTTTAGATGTGCATTCCAAAATATAACACCTCAATTAAAATACAAAATGAGTTAATCATATTAAGAGAGATGAAAAAACTTGCCTAAATAAGTACCAGCTGAGTGTGTGTCAACGCTATCATAAAGAAAGGTTACTCCAAGGATAAAAAGAGGCAATCTTGCTATTCCCTGCATCATCTGCTCAAGGATGAAGACAACTAAATGTTTTGTTTGGAATGATTCTCTGGCTTTCAGGCAAACATCGACAATCTTCATTGGACTGCAAAGTTCTTTTGAAAAGATGATAAACAATTACATTTCTATTCATTAAAATCAAAAGTTAAACATACAACAGATATGCAGGGTTTTTTCCAAGTATTTTACCTTTTACCAACTATTTTCACATTTTTTTTGTTTTGATTAACATTCCACTTACATTGAATATAGTAGTAATCATTTTCTCAGAAAAATGCCATGATAAAAATAATTTGCGGGAATATGGGAAGGGATGCACATATTATATACCAAAATATAAACGTGCATGCAGAATATAAATGAGCATGTAAATATATACATGCTTTTATGTGTCTAAGTATGTTTGCATGCATATACATGTACACAAACATAACACACATATGTATATATTCCTCCTAACTTTGGCATCCAGCTTTAATGACTTTTGACCCCAGAATAAAGGTATTTCTAATGTTCTTGATTACATAAATGATCAAAAATTATCGTCTAAGTTCAGTTCTATGTTTACTTATTTAGCAACATTTATATAAACTTCATTTCACTCTGATTAAATAATTTCCCATTTCAGGCCCACTAACTTCTAGAACATAATTCATAAGGATTAAACATTACATAATAAAAATTTATTTCTGTTAGAGTTATCAATTACACAGAAATCCACTTGATCCTAAATTCTTTCAGGTCACAGTATAGTTCTACAATTTCTAAAATTATTATTCATATGGTTATGTAACAGTGTTAAATAAACGTTTGTATGACTGCATTTGTCACAAATGGCAAAGATCCAGGCAATGCCATTAGCTCATATTAATTGCGACCCTTTTGGTTAATATTTAACAAATTCAACCAAATATTCTTAAATATTACTGTAGAAAGACTATTAAAGTACAAATTGCAAAATAGTAAACAAGTGAAAAGTTTCAGCTCTTTCATTGTCCATATGAAGTGATATTGATTCCAGTAAAATCTCTAGATTTTTATTCAAATGCTGATGGTCCAATTTTATATAGGCTTTTTAAAAATTCGGTAAATTCTTTAACAAACAAAACAAAACAAAACAAAAACAAAACCTGCCCAAACTTCTTTGGTACAGAAACTAAAAACTGAGGAAAGGAAAGAGAAGAAACCAGAAACCAAACAGGGTCAGTTCTCCTCCAGCCCAGGTCTCTCCTCCCCAACTCAGCTAAGCTCATATTAACTGGTGGTGGATCTCAATATTAATGTAATATTTCCAACACTCTCATCACTTAGTTCCTCAATCTCTCATCTCATGGACTATTCTGCCTACCTTAGCTAATCATCTGAAGTACCAAAAACACTAGTTACAAACCTTCTCTGATGGGCATCTACACTCCAACCACCTCAATCTTTCCAGCTCACTTCTACTAGTAACCCAATCCCAACAAGTCTCAAAACTCACCAGAACCTATAATTCATTAATTCTGCTTCATTTCATTGTCCCAATGCCCCTTTCTTTTATTTTTTTTCCTTTGCAGAGATTTTCGCTATAGGGCGCGTGCACTCGCCAGACAGACAGAGAGAGACATAGAGACAGAAAGCGAGAAATCACCCCCCAGGGGGGATGGTCACGCCGCAATCCCTTCTCCTCCATTCTCCTCTCGGGATCTTGGGCACGCATGCACACGCGCCCGGTGTGAGATTTAAGCCACCGGGTCCGGGACGTGAACCGTGGTCGACTATGTAGGAGTCCAGCGACATAGCCATTACACTAATATCATTTTGTGGATATATACACAGATAATCATTCTGTGGCATGTAGTATTTGCTTAAAAATCTTCAACCAGATTTTAAAATCTGTTTATCAAGTGTTCCTGGGTCTGGGCAATTTTAAAATCAGATTTTAAAATCTGGTTGAAGATTTTAAAGAGAGAACTTAAGATTTATTTATTTATTTATTTATTAACTTTCATGTATGATTGAAATTTTTTACAACGAAAATTTTTCCATTTTTAAAAATAATTATTACTATTATTTTAATTTGACCAGAGAGACAGAGACAGAGAGAGAGGGAAGGTGAGAAAACAAGCTGCCAGGTCCAGGACTCGAACCCCTTCC